TCTACTAAGCTTGTTGCACCTAGCGCGCTGATCAACTGCTCCGATGATGTATAAATATGCGCGCAGGATACCAATATACAATCAAACTTCGTTTGCACTTTGCAGCGCGCGCACTTCACGGACGGAGATCGCACATTTCGAGAGAACTGAGAAAATGATTAATAAGGTATGTACAAAATTTGGATGCATTTAACACCCACTTGCTGACCTCAGCTACTTGCTGATACACAACATACACATTTCCGCCCTTAGTTACTTATTCTCACCATAGCCGTTCTACACGTGCACGCCGTGGTTGAACTCAGAGATCTTCATGAGGAGCATGGCCCAGTCGCCTATGAGTTCCACTATGCCGTACACGATCCACACACTGGCGATATTAAATCGCAGAAAGAAGCACGCAAAGATGATCGCGTTGAAGGTGTTTACGAGCTGATCGATCCCGATGGTCATCACCGCGTCGTCCACTACAAAGCAGATGATCACAGTGGCTTCGAAGCTGTTGTTTCACGTGAACCTACAAATATAAAAATTCCAGTCCCTGAAGTGCATCATAAGCTAATTGCTACCAAGCTATTGACACCGACATTGCTGCATCATTAGAACGTCCATTTGTACATAGAAAATAAATTATGAAAAGAAAGTCCACCATAGAATACTCGATACGACACAGTCATAAATATATGAGAATGTAAGAATCCCGACAAAACAAGGAGAATTTCGGAACAAGATGCATTTACTCATATTCACACATACATATGTACACACATATTTTCTTAAGTCATCCATTTAATAGAAGTTAAGTTTTATTTACGCAACTAGTTTTTAATTGAATTGTGAAAAATAAATCCCTTATGTGCCATTTAATAACATTATATTGTACTTTTGTATGTTAGATGTATTCATTTGTAAAAAAAGGTGTTTGATTTATCATCGATAGCAACGAATATACACATATGTGCAAAAATATATGAATTTTTTCATAAATACAAAACCACAGCTGACACTTTTTTACACCCTTTTATTAGCTTCACCTGTATGTTTGTATGTATGTATGTTTATAACCGACTCCTTTGGACTCGATTTTGACCCACTTTAAACGGACAGATTTAATTCAAACTTTGTACACTTATCAAGAATCAGCGACAATATAATAATTTCATAAATTTATCTCATTATCCTGATTAGGATCGCCAGGATTAAATAATTTCCTCACACAGCCTCTGTGTGAGAGCAAGTGAGACAACTACGCTGTCTGCGCATGCGTACCGTCTACTACTTTCCGACTCGAGCACTCGGCTTATTATTGTTAATACATTCTATCCCTGTCAGTTGCACAGTTGGCAAGCGGGCTAAGGCGCAAGTCGTAGGCGCGAGACAACGAACTTACCAGACATGATTTCAAATCCCGTCTATGGCTGAAAATAAATGATGTAACGCTATCTTCCACTGCTTGACCGCGGTACTGATATTAATTGCAAAGATGAATTTGGCAATACGCCACTTCTTTTAGCAGTAGAAAATAATAATTTCGATGCTGTATGAGCATTATTCAATCGCGAAACCGATTGTGAAAAATAAATCGAACTAAAAAATTAAAAATAAATATAGTTTAAAAAAACTAAAAAACACGCTTTTAAAGCATATCAAACTAAAAAGCAAAAAAAAATTCGTAATAAAGTTTAAAATAATAATGAACAAAAAATACTAGTATTATTGTGAAAAAGTGTGGGTTGCTCGATAGACGAAAAATATGGCAAAGGGAAGCCCATAACACCGTGCGACAAAAACAAAAAAATTTTAAAACACGAAACAATCAATATAATCACGAAACTATGGGCCAAATATAGTAAAACTGGTTTTTTAGTTTTTCCGTCTGACGTCAGAACTTTTTAAGGACTTTTTTTTGAAATTTTTAAGATATGATTAATTCAAAAAATTATTTAAAAAAATTAGTGCCAGTGTAGAATAACAATATGTGTACCAAAGGAAAGAGAAGATACTGTAGAATATAAAATCAAAATTATGAATAGGTATTGAAAATGCGCTTTTAATAAATTTTATTTTTTTTTAAGCTAATAACGTTAGCATGCCGAAATTCAAGGATGTGGTCGCGTGTATATCAGTCTCCAAAATTTTTTTCAAAAATAAATATTGCAAATTTTCAAGAATATTCAAGGAAAATATTTTTAAGGGACATTTTCCATACCCGTTCGCCCTTTTGCACCGAAAAATCGTATCTTGTTTAATTCTACAAAATTTTCTCTTTCCTTTGGTACCCATATTAGAGTCTGACCGACTAATCTGTCTAGTATCGGCCAAAAGAACCGGCATCCGCCGTTTTGGGCCGATTCTTGAATGAGGTAATGTTATTTAGTTATTTGATTATGTTTTTCTTTTGGTTTCATAAAAGTTTATAAAAGCATTTGTAATTGAAATGACTTTATATTTAGGATTTAATCGGCAAAGAATCGGCCGATGCTCCGGCCTATTAAATCCTGAATATAAATTCATGTGTAGATTTCTATGGAGTGTTCTTGGAGGCCCCAGACCGAGTTGTCCTTCCAATCCTTCTTCGAAGGGATGCGAGTGGAGATCTTATTCTCGAGCTCCATCGGTGGTGTTGTATAACCTAGATGTTGGTTTAACCGAATCTGATGTCTTTCCATTTTGACAGTGCATTTTTATACCCGAGCGCACTTGTGCACAAGGGTATTATAACTTTGTTCACATAACGGTTGTTTGTAACAGGCAAAACGAATCGAGATAGATATAGACAAATGTATACATAAATGATCAGAATGAAAAGATAAATCGATTAAGCGGTGGCTGTCTGTCCGTCCGTCCGTCCGTCTGTGCACACGATAACTCGAGTAAAAATTGAGATATCTTAACGAAACTTGGTACGTACACTTCTTTGTGGCGTAGGACGGATGGTATTGAAAATGGGCAAAATCGGCCAATAACCACGCCTACCTCCCATATAGTGGTAATTTTCAGAAATACGAAAACTGCGATATTTAAGTAACTACTGAGGATTATTCACTCAAAATTGATATTTACAATAAGTTTTAGACGGAAAATAAGAATATTATAAATTTTTGGAAAACGGGCGTAGCCACGCCCACTTATGGTTACATATGTATATCTTGGTAACCGCTGCACCAATTTCTTCCAAACTTGGCACAGTTGTTGGCCATGGTACAGTATACTAAATGGCCGAAAATTTAAAAAATCGGACAATAACCACGCCCACATCCCATATAACGGTAATTTAGAGAAATACAAAATCTTCGATAAATCAGTAAATATTAAAGATTCTTTATTCAAAATTGATGCTTGCAACAATTCTTTACCAAGAAATACGTTTATGGTAAAATTTTGGAACATGGGCGTGGCACCGCCCACTTTTGATCACATATATGTATCTCGGTAACCGTTCTACCAATTTGTACCAAACTCGGTACGAATATTGTGCTTGCCACATAGAAGCAAAACATTGAAAATAATTGAAATCGGGCTAAAATTACGACCGCTTTTCATATAACTGTATATTTCAGAAATGCTTGAAACTTCAATATTTCGAAATTTAAGGACGCTAATTTACTCAAAATTGATACACCCCGGCTTGCCATGTAGCGGTAGCTTTTGGAAATGTGAAAAACATATTTTTAATACTTGCGCCGGGTATCTAATGTTCGGCTCCGCCCGAACTTAGACTTTCTTACTTGATTTAATTTTGATATATGCTGAAACAACTGATTTCATAAATTTTAGAAATGGGTTCAAACTAATTGGTGTAAATATGCAACATACAATTAAATCAATTAAATCAGTTAGCGACCATCTTCAAAAATATTTTGAAGAAAAACTTTTTTTAACTTTTGTTTAAGGCACCCTCGCATTTAACTTTTAAACTGGCCGCAAGGTCTTCAAAAATATTTTATAAATTTACATACATACCTCTCAATTCAAAAGTATTTTCAAAATGAAACTTTCTCTCATCTGATACGCATATAAAGAATATTTCATTGAACTTATTAATCTATTACTAAATTTGTGCTTTTGAATTTCTAAACAGGTGACCAACATGTTAAAACATATTTTCCAAATAAACCTCGCTCATTTCATACCCATATTAAAATATTTAAATTAACGGGAATATTAAATTGACTTTAAATTTCTTACCAGGTGGCAACTTTTTTAATAGATATTTCAGAAATAGAGCTTTATTAGCAGCTCTCCCTTGATACCTATATGAAATATTAAATTTAGCTTGTTTAGCAACTTCAAAAAGTTCAACTGTTAATACTTAAGTTATCTTTAGAGCAATCTTGATCATCTTAAATGCTAACGTTTCTACATTCTATAGGATTAATACTTTCGATTGGTATATAACTTGTTCATTAAACAAATGAGTACAAAATTAAAAAATAATTATAATTTTTTGAGCCAACCCACTCGCGAAATATTTATTAACACGTTAAATTTCATACAAAATTGATTTCATCCATTAAACAGATGAGTGAAGGTCCGTGCCCTTGTCGGATCTTAGACTATCAGTATTTTATATCATACCGGAAGTTGAGATGAAATTGAGTAGAATGATTTGATTGATTTTCCAGTACCCAAACCATGCTGCATTTCTTTTGATATTAGGACATGGAAAACGGATCAAAGCGGAGAAGAGCTATTTTTATTCAAAACTTTCTTTTATACTCGTTATGACTGAATATTTCTAGACGAAACCAGCGGCACCTTATTGGAGCAGAACCTGCCATAAGAGATACTGCCACCAGCTGGACTTAAGATCATACGTTTGAAGATCTTTTTCACAACGATCTCGAATTCAAATTAAAAATAGTTATAATCTTAGCCGTTCTACTTTATTTTCTTCAAGACAAGTAAATACATATCTACCTAATAAATAAATAATTCCACAAATAATTAGAAACTAAAAACTGAATTCGCTATGTAAAACTTAAGTCAGCCAATATTTACTACATCCCATAGAGTTGCGGACGGGGGGCATACGCAGACGCTAGCGAGTTGTAAGGTATTGAGTTCTCGTACTCTACACTTGGGTCGCTATAAACCGCTTGATGTGTCAAAGAATGCGCGCTTTGTTGGTCCTTATTTGGTTCAGCAGCGGATCCATATTGCGTTGGTCCACTTGAGTAACCTTTATTAATGTAATTCGTATACTGAGTAGCCGAAGAAGTCGCCGTCGATGGACTTGGTGTAGCCGGATTGCTCTCTGCAGGGTTTTTATATTGTGGTGGTACCACGGGATAGCTCTTATTTGCTTCTGCATAAGTTGGCGCTGAGGAAGAGTATTTAGGTTCTGGCAGAGGCAAATGATAAGGAGAAGCTGGTTGAATTGTGTAAAGTGGTACTTCAGCATTAGAGGCATATGAAGGCCCGTAAACAGCTGGTTGGTAATAGGCGGTGGCGCTATTCCTGTTAAGGTTTTCCATTTGCAAAAGACGCGTCAAGTCGTCCACGGAATAGCTGGCGTCCAGCAAGGCTTCTGAATAGTTGTTATCAGATTTTGAGTTATCATAAATGCTGGGCGCTGGACTTGCTTTCGCATACGTTGTAGGTAATATTGGCTGTGGCGCCTGAATTTTATAGGCCAATTGTGTATGTCCATAGGAATTGCTTAGTTCATTGGTAGATGGTGGAGGGTAAATTTCCTGCGTAGCGCTGAGGTGCGCAATCGGTGTGGCCGATGTGGCTGGTGTGTAGGGAACATGTGGAGTGTAGGGAGTAGGGAGTGGTACGAATATTTGTTGATGTACATGCTCCGAATGGAGCTGACCGTTTGGCACGCGATGGGAAGTTTTTGTGATTTGGGTTACTTGCTTTTCAGATGCACCATCAACAGTTACCTTTCGGCAGAATTCCTTACAGCCACCTTTGCATTCGTAATAGCAATTTTGGTAGGTGCTCGGTGTGGTAGACGAGACGCTAGCAGCGGTGGTTGTAATGTAAACTTCGGGCGCTGGGGTTGGCGGTTTAGTATATGGGCGTGGTGTGGTTGAAGGTCTCTGAGTAGTGGGTGCGTTGGTAGTGCGGGGTGGACTTTCTGTTGTTGTTGTAGTTGTTGTACTTCTAGTAGATATCTGCTCGCATGGCACCTCTTCCCACACTTCATCTTCGCAATGCGATCGGAAGTGACGATGATTGGGTGAAGAAAAAACTGGCGCAACGATTGCACTCAACAGCAATAACAATCCGAACGATGTGCACTGAAAGTGGAATAGAAAGAAAGCCAAAAAAACACAATAAGTCGTGTAAAAGAAAACGGGTTCCGATAAGTGGGTTACAGCGGCGACAGCAACGTCGGCAAAGCTACATATTATGCCAAATAAACGACGCTACCGATATTGCCCAATTCGCAGTTATGCACTGAGGGAGGTATATTGGGTAGTGGTATTGTGTTATCGACCTAGTCGGTGTAAATTTACCTTTGACGGCATTTTTTTTTTTGTTTGGTTTTTTGTGTGTTTTCTACCAGCCTTCTCACTTGCGGGTTCTTTGCACTGGTATTCGTCACCGCTTTCCAATTCGAACTTAAACATCTTTGTTTATCGCTTTAAGTTTTATAAGCCCGTCTTTGTGGGTGCTGTTGAAAGTATACATACATACGTTTATAAATGTATTATTATACATATCCATAGACGTGAATTCTGTTTTATTCTTGTTTGTCGGCACCTGAGCACGTGCCGGGGAAACTTACAAACATTTTTTTGAAGGTTGCGCCGGTAAAATGTTTTTGTTGAAGACACGTTAATCGAAGTGTTG